TGGAAATTCCGGTTTTTTTTTTTCGAAAAACTGCCGTAGAATGGAGATGGGAGCGGGGATGTAGCGTCACTAACTCCCGAAATGGATGAGAAACCAAGAAAAGTCAGCCTGGAAACATTTTTTCAATAGCAAATACGACCTGCCCCCTCCTGCTGCCAATATGACTTCAGGGCACGCCGTGAAGTGAGACTTCCCTTGCTGAGGATCTCCAACCCACGGCGTGCCCTGATTCGAGCAATCGTTTGGTACATTGAATTTTTGCAGTTTTCTTATTTAGCTATGTTCCCAATGGGCGCACTGGACCGCACATACATATGAAATGGAGAGTAAGTATGTATATTAAGTGAAGCATAATTGCACCTATCTTTTCAATCACTGGACTGCGTCCAATTCTTTGCGTCAGTTTTTTGAGCCTACGGCAGCACGTCGCGTAATGAGGTCCCGAGCGTACGGCAGTGTTCTGAGCGACTAGGAAAGTATAGTATGGATCTTTTGAGCACACGCCGCCTTCTCCAGCCACTGCCCGCAAAAATTCAAAACTGTTAGCGAAAAGCTCAAAAAGCTAGATCGCTAGAAAAACATTCCCAAGTCGCTCGAAGAGCCTCAAATGCCTCTTCGCAAATGCGTAAATTTCGGTTTTTCGACGGAAACTTCTGTAATTTAATAACAAAGTGCCTGCATACTCGGCCACGACAAAAAAAAAAAACCCGAAGTAAGCACGGAAAAAAGAGACTTGCGGAAACTTCCCCAGCAATGCAATATTTGTTTAGATATATACAACCAAAAACAAACCTATGTACTCCCCGCAGCCAAGGCTGCAGCATGAAGCATACACTGTCCAGCTTCACAATAAAGCTCTCGATCTGCATGACGAGATGCCATATTGAGCAACCAGGTTAGCCTTAAGATCACAATCATAAGCACAACAATAATGAAGTGAAACATGTCATTTTCCAAATGTCTTTAAGGGATAATCAGGAAAAAGAAAGAGCAACTCAGAGCGCGATTCATACTTCGCCGACTCGATTCACGATCGGCTCACGCTGGTTGCTCGCCACGGTGCGACCGACGCCATCGCTGTGCATTTCGCGCTGCATTCTTCCCATCGCGCGAGCAACCCGACGATCGGATCGCTCGCGCGATTAGATCACGAAGTGTGAACGCGGTCTTAATCACCTATAGATAATACAGCAAGTAGGTGTAGATCGAAAGTGAATAGCTAAATGGTAACAAACCGGAGATCAGGATTAGTTTGATATCCTTTGGCAACACGATACATGAGATCAATGGTCATCTCAAAGTCATTAGCAAATTCTTTGAGCTTCACTGTATCGGAGAGTATCATATGAATATTACAAACGAGATCTTTGACCTGCAATTCCACCATTATTTCTGTACACACTATATCATGCCCGGGAAATCGCGCCATATTTACCTGTTCAGAGAAACTAGAGTTGGCACGCGTGTGAGGATCAGTATTTGCATCTGTTTCAGAGTAAATCAGCACTGTCTGGAATTAGAACCAAACTACATCGAGAAAAATTTTACATTCATGCAATTTAACATCAAAATTTGGTTTGACACGATACAAGTATGTTTAGACGCATTCATGCTCAGTAGCTGGTGTGCTCCCGTTCGTAGTTTGAGCAAGTGGAAAATGTGCGATTTGGGAGAATCGGCAAGTGGATGAAAGAGCGAAAAGGGGGAAAAGCACGTCGATCCAGAGAAACAATTGTATTGAAGGGTCCACATTCAGGAAAAATCGAGGACAGAGGATTGGGTGGCAACATGGCAATCGCCTTAATTTTACATACAGTCTTTTTGGCTGCTGATGCTGGGCCGTGTCAGGGGGATGGGTCTGGCGCGACGCCAATCCGTTTTCGACCAACTGTTGTCGCTTGCCTACTTCAACGATTGGTGGAGAACGAGCAGGCGCAACGCCAAACCTAGCCCTGCCTGGTACTCTCCAGCATCCGCAGGAACAAAGTTATACTCCCGGATCGCCCAGACCTTTCCTCTTGGCGAAATCTAAGGAGTCTCCGACTCTACTCAGGCATTGGTTCTTCACATTAGCAAAGTATGAAAGCAGTCTGAGTGAAAGAATTCATTTGTCCTATGCACGGTTTTACCGATGTTACAAAAAGTGCTCCTTCCCTCTTTCGGTATGGGTACAAGTGTGGGTCTCCGTTGCGAAAGCCCCCATTTCGCATAAGGGACCCTTCAAGTCTCCCCTCCCCTCCTTCCCACACACCTCCCCAAAGTATTTTATCACCGTAAAGGAAACAAAACTAACCAAGAGCATCTCAAAATTTTCCTACTAATGAAGTCGAAAACAGGTCTTCAGGCAGAAACTAACCTTCAGACTCCTTCTTAGGCAATCTTCGTTCAGCCATACACCCTCCCTAGTTGCATTCGACACCAACGTTGACAATGACATCGTGATTTGCATTTTCACTCTTGCCAAGCTGCTGCCACTTTCGAAGCTCTCTCGCATCAGCAGATACAAGCTAGCGGCAGCCTAGAAATGCGCGATAAGTAGTGAGCAATCGGTTTTAACTCGTACTCATTACCTGCGTTCGAACAGCTGGTAATCGAGACGCACAATGACGTAGAAG